TTTCGTTGGATATGCATTTGCTGAGCCCTGTGTACTTGGTTGCCATGACCCTCTAGTACTTCTGGAATATTCCTATTATTTCCTTAGTGTTGTGCTGTAGCATACTTTATCTTTTRATTTGATGGCTTGTAAATGAGTTTTAACTAAGTTGAATAGAAGGATGGGTGTTCAGTCTCATGGCAGCCTCCATGCTCAGGGTGCCTCCATTTTCAGTACAAGCCTTTCTTGTGATTTCTCTCTTTGAGAAGCTCCCAGCTATGCTGTGGAAGGATGAACAAGCCCTCACCTGCCCCACGCAATTCCACCTTGGTAGATGAAGCTTGTTAACTATTTCCCTGCTTTTCTTTGCATRTCTTAGAGAAACTACATTCTTCTACAAAAACAAATGTGCTTCCTGAGGGTAGGGAAATATACTTTCTARAGCAAATCCTTTACATGCTGGAGGGAAAACTAAGGGCTTGCTAATGCAATTGTTAAAGCTTTCTCCTCTCTCTGGAGTAGCAGAGCACCAGTAGCTCAAGCTCCAACCCATGATGAACTCAATGCTGAACAGAAAGCATGTCAACATGAGCAAATTCATGAGTCAGAGCCTTGCCTGGCAGTTCTCTGCAAGYCAATTTGATGGACCCTGCATCTTGACAGCCACCAGCAGGCAGGGAGATGAGAATCTTCCAAATCTCATTCTCTTAGAGAAGGGGCTTTTGGCTGCCGGGTAACACAGCTGGTCTTGCGAGGCACAGGGTTTTAGTCCAGGCTGAATAGATGTCAGGACTGGATCCCGCATGTTGTCTGTGCAGCGAGACATCACATTTTTATTGATAGAGTCAGAGATTTTTGGGGCTTTTTTTCCCCCATTCGATCTCTGGTTGATTAAGAGTCCATGAGACACACACTAGGAGAAAGAATTATGGCAACACAGAAAGCTGTCCGTTTGTTCCTGTGCAATTTTCAGATGCACCCATGCTCTGTTAACTAACTTGTGTCAGCAATGCTGCATCTGCATACACATCTGCATACATGCCTGTATGTGCATACATATTGCATAAAGTGCTTATATTGCAAGGCAAAGGTTGGAAAAAATGTGCTTCTTGTGCAGGAGGATCCTTATACTGTTCTGCTAAAGGAGAAAGTAGATTTGCATGAGCTTGGACATGTAGTTGTATTAGGATTTGTAAATCATTTATGTGCGTTTTGTCAATTTAAACTAAATGCTGCAGCTAATACCTTCCAGAGAAAGTCATTAGGCTTCATAAGGCTAACTCAAACATGATGTAAGCATAATGGAAGCTGTACATCAAAAGAATAAGGACTCTGTTCCCTCAGATTGGGCTGTAAATTGGACTTACGCAAGCRTGCATGTTTCATGTAAAGGGAAGATTTAAATCCATTCAAATGTCTTTGTTCCAGGTAGCARGTCTTTTAAAAGGTCATTTATCCTTGTTGTCATGTTTTGTACTAAAACAAAATGCCAGTGAGTAAGAAAAACAGAGGCCATTTAGACATGTCAGGTATGAACAACTCTAATGTCTAAGTCTGTAAGTCTGTCAGTCTGGGCATTAGAGGTTTCTCTTTCCCTTGCTCCAAGGTGACAGCTTGTTTAGAAGGTTGGGCTAATGTCTTCCACGTGGATAAATGCTGAAAGTGTCATTTCACAGCTGTGCTCTCCTGAGAGCTGAGATTGGGAAGGGATGATTTATTTCCACCTGTAAAATTCCTAGGTTTGCTAACTGAGATTATGCTTCTGCTCACTGATAACTGAAATACTTATGCCACTTGTGGGTGAGATAATGATGTAACCACATATACCTGKGTGATTCATATTTCAAATCATATGAAAATCCTTTTGAAAACTCCAAAGAGTAACTTGTCAGGCTGATACTCACCGCAGGTCTCTTAGACGCTGCTGCCAAGGGCTGGATCAAATGCTGGTGACAATTTCTGTTAAATKAATGTTCACAGCATGTTAATACCAAGAAAAAAGGCAAGCATTTGGCATTAAATCTTTTGGGAAAAGAATGGCACGATTAGATAGGAAGGGGTGGTAATGTGCTGGTATAATCTATGCCACAAGGTGCAGTGAGAAATGCAAGACTGGAGCCTATATATTCATTGCTCCTCACAGGCAATCCGCTGGAGCTGCACTAGCACAGCCCAGGATGAGGCATCCCAAGGGCTGCAGGGCACCAGTGAGAGCAGCAGTGCMGGGCTGTCATTGCAGGGCCAGCTTCACCCCACACATTATTTTTCACAGGAATAGCAGGAAATGCTCTGTTCTCCTTGCAAAGAGCAATGAAGGTTGCATCTAGAGAGCTTTTATCATAAGCTTATCATCAAGCCTCCCACCCAATTTAAGTTTCTCCCACAAAATGACAAATYTGTGAGTTGACAGGGATGTTATCCTGAGATTTTACAAAGCAATTACTGAAATTTGGAAATGGTTTGTTCTCTGGATGACATTGTTAAAATGCATTGACCTTCATGACAATCTTGCTGATGAACCAGAAAGAGGCAGGAAGCAGGCAAAAGTGCAGCATTCCTGCAAAGCTGGCCAGTTTTTGTGTCAGATATACTTCCTTTATTTCTCTAAAGTGGTGCAAGGAAATAGACTTTATTTTTTTTACTGGTTTAGATACCCATCCATCACCTGAATTTTTCTTGATATCATTGCACTGCTCTGGGGGGCATCTGGCATCTGTTTATTTGTGTGCTGAGAGCTTGCTTCAGTGAACTGCTGATGGAAGAGTTCAGCATTTCTCTGCTCATCAGAGCTGGTTTATTTGTTTAATCAGCAACTCTGTGCTCTTGCTTGTCTGCACCCTGTGAAGCCGAGACTGTGCCTCCACATCAGTATTAGAAGAGGATTACACTGCAATTCAGCTTGATCTTTCCATTCAACATGCAGCTATGCTTACTTTTTCATTTGTGTTAGGCCAGACCATCACGTTGCAACAGAGCTACATCAGTTTATGTGGGTGAGGGGCTCTGCAAATGCTGTGTGCTTCAAAGTGCTGCCAAAATAATCCCCTGTTAGATTAATTGGCCACAACACTCAATGATCAAAGCAATCACTCTCAGGTAAGGCTGTGAAGAGAATAGGAGGAAGCCATCCTGACCGCACCATTTCTTGAAGGAATATCATCTGTGTTTCTTTGCCTTGCTGACCTCTTTGGGGCAAGCACTCACTCCTGGAAACTTGTTTTTGTAATGACAGAAAGTTGGATAGGGAGTGTAAAAAGATTTACTGCCTGCCCCCCATTGCTTGCTTGGTGTATTTTTCAGAAGTCATAGGAGGAGGTGATGGTGAAGAAGAGTGTTAAGACAGGATGAAGAAAGAGATCTGTTGCTACTAGTGAGGGTCCATTTTTAGTGGGTTTGTAGCAGACATATTAAAATACATACATTTAAAAAGCCAGTGCCTACTGTTTTGTCTTTGTAGAGAAACAGGAAGAAAATTACCTTCAAGAAGAACTTGAATGCAGAATTCTTAAAGGTTCAGAGAGGTTATTTCAGACAGGACTGGTAATGCCATGCAACCATAATGGATCCAACCTTCTAGACGAAAATAAGTAGATCAGGCCACTTGAATGAATATAGAAAGGTTGACAGAATAAGTAGAAATAAGTCAAAGAAGGCTGAAGCCCTTGTGGCTTCATGGATGTCCAGGACTTCCTATGGCCATCCTGTGGCCATGGGTGTCAAGGACAACAGGAAAGATACATCAATAACAAAAGGAAAACTAAAGATAACATGGGCCTGTTGGTTAATGCAGGGTGGATCCTGGTAACAGAGGCACTGAATGCCTTCTTTGCACTGGTCTTCACTGACAAGACCAGCCATCAGGAGTCCTTGACCTGGGAGCCCAGGGTAAAGGAATATTGGAAGGCTTTCCCTTGGTTGAAGAGGATTGGGTTAGAGGACATCCACAAGTCCATGGGCCCAGACAGGATGCGTCTACAAGTGCTAAGAGAGCTGGCAGATACCATGCTAGACCACTCCATAATCTCTGAAAGGTTGTGGCAATCAGGAGAGGTGTCTGAAGGACTGGAAGAAAGTAAATGTCATCTCAGTCTTCAAAAAGGGAAGAAGAACACAGGGACAACAGGCAATGGGCAGAAATTAATGCATGGGAGGTTCCAGCGGAAAAGCTTCTTCACTGTGTGGGTGAGGGTGCATTGGAACAGTTGCCTGGAGAGGTTGTGGAATCTCCCTCACTGGAGATATTCAAGAACCACCTGGATGCAATCCTGTGCCATGTACTCTAGGATGACCCTGCTTGAGCAGTAAGGTTGGACCGAATGATCCACTGTGGTCCCTTCCATCCTGACCCATTCTGTGACTGAAATTCTTTGTGCTTCGTTAACAGTTCTTGCATAGCTTTTTGATGTCTGATCATTTGTGCCAATATTTTACTAATTCATTTTGCTCCTAATTGAGGCTTTCTATTGTCCTAGAGGAAGGCTAGGGGACATGGTGTGAGTAACAGGCAGATCCACAGGGTTTTCTGTATTCATGAGGCTCCATTTCCATGAAGAGGAACTGGAAATCCTTTTCACCAGGGGTTAATGTATGAGGCTCAGAGTGGATGAAGTTTGTATGCTCTTTCTAATAAGCGCTGCTTTTCTTTGCCTAGACACTTAAACCCCCTGAATTAGAGTGCTGCCTGAAGGGACAGGTATTATGTAAAGAGCTGCCAAAGCCTTTGTGTGCCAGTGGGAAGCCCCTCATTATCACAAGAGGATCTAAATGGAAAGGTGACATTCAAAAGACCATTAAGATAAAAGCCAGGATAAATTTCCTTCCAATCTCACTTAATATAAACTTTTGTTTAAAATCCCCTTTCCTGAGAGAATGTGTGATTTGATATACACAGCTTATTCCTTAATTGGGTACAGTCAGCTGCTTCAGAAAGCGATCGCTTAGCCAGGAGAGGTAATGAGATTAATTGCAGAGGTAATAAGRATGCCAATATATATGACAAAGATGTATTTCTAATCTTCCAGCCATGAAAGCCAAGTGGAAAACACAGTACCAGCTACTTCCAGATGGTTTTCCAGAACAAGCACAGATCTGGTATGGACAAAAGTGCCTCTACTGCATAAACCAGGTTTCCTCATGCATAGTTTTGTGGAATTTAAGGAAATTGAAATGAAGGGTGTTTATGGTGATTTTTTTTTTGTTCTGTTTGCTTGTCCTCTGAACTCCCTTCAAGACTGTTGCCTACAGTGTACTCTCCAAGGCTCTTTGTAACCTCGTTTTGAATRAAGCATGAAACTGGGGTCTGTCCTTTCTGCCTGAAAACTATCCCATAATTTCAGCATTCTCCTGCTTGGCCAGGGCATGTAGCTGAGAAATGTTTCAGTTTTGTCCCATTTTCCCTGTTACAACTGTGTGACTTCTCCCAGGAAAATACATATGAGTGTGTGTGCGTGTGCCTGGTTCTCTCTTCTGAGCATTAACCAGATTGCAACATGAGCCTGAGACATGAGACTTGGAAGTGTGGATTGAGGAAAAAGTGATGACTATAACTGTTAATAGTTACCATTTGTCAAGCATAAAATATACTTGACTTTTGCCAGTCCTTTCGCTGTAAAGCCAGTGATTCTGTTAGCCCGGCTGGTCCCTAGGAGCTCCTGCTGATCAAAGTTATCCTGCAGCTTTGGGATGACTCTGGCCAAGATCTCAAGACCCAGACTAGTATCTAGCAATGCTCCTCCTGTGAAAACAGATAATGGCAGCAGCACAAATCTAACTTGCTGTGTCTTTTCCATCCCATCAGGTACTACCCATGTGCAAGTCTCAGTATTAGCAGAAATAGGCAGTAAATGGATTTCCTAATTTGCTGAAGTCATATCTCTAAGTATCACTTGGCTGTATGTTGGTGTGTTGGTGCTGGACAGCTGGGCTATGTAGTTCCCAGCTGTTGGTGAAGGAAGGGCATGAAATGAGTAGGTCACTTCTGTTGTGTGCCAGTTCAAAGCTGCCTGCTGTTTCAGAAGACAGGCTGTTTCAACAATTTCCTTTATCCCTGAGGGTTGTCTCTTCAGCTTGCAATGGTGGATTAGTGATCACCAAACCTGCAACAGGTACTGAGCCAGACCACAGTGTATCTCATCATGCCTTCCATCGGATGCTGCAGTGAGCAGTTGCAGCGAGCTGCCCTCGACCTTCCTTCCCACCCAGCTTGGCTCACCACCATGTTAAGGCTGACTAAAACTCAGCACTGGCTGAGAAGCTTTGCAAAGGAGCTGTTTTAGCCTTTGGGAATTTAAATTCTTRCATCAAATTCTCACAATCGTGGGCTTTGATTTTGCTGACCACACTTCAGTGAAGTTCCTGCTTCTGTGCATGACTAATGTTTAGCCCAGATGGGAGAGGTTTGTCTTCAGAGGGATTTGAGCAAGAGGCTTTAGATGAAGTAAACCTGTCCCATGCACTGTCATGTTATCAGGGTTACTCTGGGGAAGGTAGAGGAGGTGACTTTGGGTTTTGTAGGAAATTAGTGGTACCCAGCTCAACCCTGACTCTCCCATTGCCAAAAGAGTGCAGCTTTTTTTCATCATCTTCTGTGATAAATTGCCTAATTTATTCTGGCTCCAGAAAATATTAATGACGCATCTCTTTTACAAGGCGAAGTAATAAAGTAATTTTAAATTTCTCTCTTACCCATGCTTTATTTCAGAATTTTGTTTTGTGTTTGATTTTTCTGGATTTATCACAGAGGTCAAAAGCAGTATCAATCCTCATGTTTTTTCCTGTTCTTCATAGATTTGTCTGGCAAACTGTCCTAAAATTGCCAGGACTGGTAGTAGATACCGGCATAGCTCTCTGCTACCTGTTATTCTGTGAAGACTTTTGGTTTCCTGCTTGGTAACAATCATGCTAACAGCCAGCTCCAAGGAGTTGAGGATGAAAATAGCCTGAGTCTGCCTTCCTGCTGGACCTGARTTGTTTTCTCACATTCACTCACCATTGCTTTGTCCAACTGAATTTTAAATGTATCAAGCAGTAGAGTTTCTGTCACATTACTTTTCAGAGATTATTTTGCTTATCTCWCTGCCAAGAATTTCTTCCTCAAACTCCACATTTTGCCTTCCTGTCTTACCCTTGAATCTAATTCTATCCTGGTGTATTTTGCTAATATTTAAATCCTCCCAGGTCTTTCCTGTCATCAGGTTATTGCTACAAGCAATAACCCCCTTGAGCCTTAGTCTTCTGTTTGTGAGCGATTCAAGTTTTGCCAACAGCTTAGGAGACAACACTACCACAAATCTTCAAACCTGCCTCATAGGCAGAGTGGTGGAAATGATTCTTTGGATCACCAGTAAAAAAAAAAAAAAAAAAAAAAAAAAAAAAAAAAAAAAAAAAAAAAAAAAAAAAACCCCAAAAAACCCCTGAAAAATGTCAGTACAGAGAAATTTGCTTCCTTTTGAGAAATAACATACGTAATCGATGTTACTTTTGATGAGAAATGGCAAAATAAAGCTACTTTGTTTTTATCCATTYGCTTAGACCTTCTTTGCAATCAGTCATTGCATTCTGTTTAGTTTGTTCATCTACCTCCACTAACTTACAGCTACATTAGATAATGAAAGGTGCTTAGCCAGGCAGATCTTTAAATGCTTGCAGCACCCAAAAATAAGAAGGTTAATAGTCCAAATGCTCTAGCATTTGAAGATGCTTATGGCATGAAAGCTTTCTTCTGCATTTTTATTGTTTTAGAASACACAGTTGATAACTGTAAATGCTTTGAGGTCACAGTTTTGGGCTTTTGGCATGTGTTAAAAGACATGCCTGCTGTGGTGCATGTGCCTTGTTTCTTGGGGCAGGGTTGAAGAGCGCCGGGGCTCTCAGGATCTGGAAGTTCCTATTGACTGCTCACTGCAGTAGCTGGTTGARAGAGTGGGTCTTTACCTACGAAGCTGCTTTTTCAAACAGAAGSCCCTGAACTGCTGCAGGGGAAGAGCAGAGGACTTGGGGGTATTTAAAAGGTCATCTTCCATGACTGATTGTGGTACATCACCAGTTACTGTCTGCATGGTGACAGATTCCTTTTGTCACTGACTGTTCACCCTTCAGAATCTGTGATCTGCTTTTCTCTATCAGAACACTTTTCCTTCTGCAACCCTCTCAGTCTTTCTATSACTTTCCAACTAGGATACCCACACTCTTGACAAACCATGACCTTGTACATTACAGAGATACCTGCTTTGGGAAAATCTGCAAATGAGGATACTGGCACATGGATTAGATTACAAGGGTCAGGGATCAAACAGAGTGCTGTTGACTGGAAATATGCAAGGTGAGGGAAGCGCAAGGCAAGCAAATACCTCTCACTTTGTGGGGTGTTCAGCTGCCACTTCAACATGCATATACTCATGGCCAGAAGGCCCTGGCTTAGGAGCTGCCATGTATTTTGGTAACACAGCTGTTTATATAGCCTAAGTCATCCATTATTCCTTTCTATTCTGGTATTTCTTTATATCTGGAGAGGTTTTTGAATTGGGCTACTCCCTGAATAACAGATAAAAAAAAAAGAGAAAAAAACCAAAACAAAATCTTTAGCAAGGCTGAATAATTTATATTTTGCACATATTTACAGACAGTCCAAAGCTTTTTTTGTAATATTTCAAGTGCTTAAAGAAAACAACACGTGACTTATTTGGCATCAGATGAATATGTTAGGAAACCATCCATGTAAATCTGTAGYCTAGCCTTTATCCCCCAAGGCAGGTCTTCTGGATGCTGCCCATCTGCCTGACTTGAGCTCAACAGCAGTTGCCAGGGCTGGGAAGAAATCAGATATTCCTGCAGGACTCTGGCAAGGGGAGTATTGGGGCTGGGAGCTTGCAGTCATGATCGACTGATCRCAGAAAAGGAGCAGAAGACATGGAGTCTAACATGCCTGTGACCCATCAGAAAGCAGTATAAAGTTGGAGACAGAGATGAAATTACTTCCAGTGAATGAACCACTGCAGGGCCTGGATGTGAACTAAACACTTTTGGACCTTGGTCTTAAGACTTCCCAGCAACAGAAGATTGCCTAAAAGGCAGTTTCCCCAGAATATAGGATAAGCAGTCTAACAAATGTACATGTGCCTCAGCAAAATGAATTTTAAATGAATCTACCATGTAGAGTTGCAAGCTCAGTAGATTCAAGGAGCATGTGATAAGGTGGAATATATTTGGGTCTCAATAAAACATTKAAAGAGAGTTCATCAAAGATGATTCAAATTGCCTTGGCTCTTCCATAGACATTGCCATTTTTAAAACTGCCCAAGGTGCCACTAATAAAGGATAGCTGGCAGCAAGGTATCAGTGGAGAGCACAAGGGAATTGGGAAGCAATGATGAGATATGCAATGTTAAATAGTCTGCAATCTATATTCAGAAAAATCCCCATGAAGGAACCAAATGAGGGAATAGGCATTACTGGRATGCTTTTCCTAGAGAGTACTGGACAGGGAGGAGCTGTAGGCTTAGGGAAAGGAAAGGTGGTTAGAAACAATATGGTGAAATTTGGGGAAAATGCAAAATTATCTCAAAATATGGCTACTTACTGGGGCAAGCCTGGGGGCAGAAACCCCAAAAGAGTTTTAATCTTGGCAACAGTAGATAATACATAAAGCTGCAGTGCAGCAGGCTCACTATGGTATTATTCTTTAATTTCCATGGTATCTGAGCACTGCAGAGATTATATAAATAGATGCTTTTTGAAGAAACTCTTCTCCCTAYTAAAATACAATAGGAATTTTATTTACCACCTTTTCAATTTTGTAGTGATGGGGTGGGATATATTGAGAAGATGGGCTTGAWTTCAGGCTTGGTTACAGCAAGATCATCCCATTCCTGCAAGAGAAGAAAGAAGAATATTGCTGGTGACACTTCTCTGTCCTGAACTCCTGCAGGGCTTGCCCTGATGCAGAAAGGACCACTACCCCGATAAATGTTGCTGATGTGAGTGCTGTCTCTGAAGCACACTCTTGCTCAGGAGCTGGAGCTTGAATCYAATCTGCTGCTGAAGGAGCTGCCCAAGGACTGCCCAAAGCCCTGGTATGGTACCTTCATAGCAGCGTGTGTGGGAGAACATGTGGGCTGCTGAATCTTCAGGCAGATGACATGATATTTTATTTCACTCTATTTCTAGAA